TCTGATAGCTGGAATACCAGCATGGGACTGATCCAGACCCCAGGAACATGGGTTTCAGAAATCTATGGGACCTCCTGTAGTAGTTCAGTATTTATCCCTAGCATAGGTATGTACTTTGAGAGCCCATTCCATATAGAGGGATACTCCCTGAGCCAAGAAAAACAGGGGTGGGCCCAGGCCCTATCCCAAAGGATACAATAGACTCTGATGACACCCTATGGAAGGCCTCACCATCCAGGGGGAGCAGAAAAGATATGTGACAGATAAGGTTTTGTTGAGTGGGTAGGGGAGGATGGGTGGTATAAGGGAATTGTCATGTAAAACAATCCTGTTTTTAATTCAAATAAAAAAGTTGGGGGAAAAAAAGAGTCTTGTGGCATCTGGATAGAAATGTCAGTGAAGGAAATTGAATTCAAAGACATCAAGGCATCTGTAGAATACAGTGGGCATCATGTTGGCAAAAGGGACCAGGAGAAATTGCAGATGTAATGGACCTATGAACCAGGGTAAGATAAATCTGACACACTATATGCCTAAGGGATTGAAAAGGCCTAAGTGTTCAACAGCATTGCTTACCAGGTTTTTGATCCAAGAGAACAGAATAAAATAATGTGAGATATTTCAACTGGGGGGCAAAGCAGGAGGCAGATAAAATGCTGGTTGGTAGAATTTTCAGGACTAACTGAAGATAAAGAGATTCAGGACTGATGTCCTTTGAACAGAATAAATTATAATGTCAGCTACATGACAAAAATAAAAATGAGGCATAGATTGTTATATCTTGGTGAAAGTCAGGGATGATAAGGCATTTCACTTTCTAAAGTTCAGAGGTGTTAGAACAATGAGAGATGTAGGGAACATAACCCTTCCTTCACAATAGATCCTTGTTTGAAATTAGCTGGTTTAGCTGTCTTGGGGCTGTGTCATAGGCTCTCTTCTAACACAGATGATGTAGGAACTGACAATGGGTATAAGAACATTTCCACCAATAATCTTAGGTGCATAACATGAATTCCTGACATTTGTACTGAAATGGCCAATTAAAATCATTCTGTACAAATAACAGCTACTATACAGGAACTGTATTGTAATAAAAATACAAGAAAATCTTATGTTATTTATTTTTCAAATTTCCTCTCATCAGAAATACTATGGCAATTCGGCAGAAGAGAAATGGTGCAGACAGAACACTGAATTCTTTAGAGTTATTTCTTTCAGATTGCAGTATATGCAGCTGCAGGAGCCTATAGCAACACAAATCTCAACTAATTTACAAATGAGTTATTTTACTATTACAACATGTGTCTCTTTCTCACAGATATAGCTACAACCCCTAAAGCCTTTTCTACATTCCCCCATTGATGAGGAGTTTTTCAGCTACACCTTCTGTGACCCTGCACAGATGTCTACAAAAAAGACCAAATATAACTGCTTTACCCAATTCTTGGGACTAGTAGGCATCCTAAATTCAAAGCTGTCCTATGGGAGGTTACTAATTGTGTAGTGTGACCTCCAAGCCTTCACAAAACTTTCACTTTATGCGAATCTGAAAGACAGTTTACCCCAGTGCCTGCAGCCAGTTTTAGTCTCTCTACTCTGATAAAAACCTAACAGGTAATCACAAAATGCTTAATTTGAAAGCTTCTGAAAGCTACCCTGAATGGCTAGTAGCAGCTTAATGCAGGACTGTATCCTCTGTCCAATTCCAGACCAATCAGCCCAATTCCAGGGGCAAAATAAGACTTACTGTGTTATTATGTAGAAGTTGCTTCACAATATATATAGGACAATGAGGGAGGGTCCCATAACTAAAAGTCCAGTTTATTTGCATTGAGTTAAATTGAAGCAATGATTTCTAGAAGGGATTATGAAGTCACTCTTTCTCATTTACTTGTAGTTCAGGAGAATTCCCAGAACTCATGAGTGAATTTGTTCACTGGGGTGTTATGATAGAGAGCAGATGAGGATTCAAAAGTTAATAATTAACTTGGATTGTTTAAGAGATCCCAGAGAAGACTAGCCTCATCCAAAGGAACAAACAAATCTTACAGGAATCTCACACGAGCTTTTGATACTCACTGGACCAATGATCCTAGTCAACCATCAGGGATCAGGATAATGTGTGAAAGTCTAGGAAAGTTTCTGGTTCTCCAAGGTAGCTCTGTCGTCATGACTGCAGGTGAGAAAAATTGCATTTCTGAAGGGAATTGAGTTCATAGATATATACACCTTTATCTTAGGGGTGGACTGCCTTTTGTTATTCATGGTGTTGGTTGTCCTGTCAGCAGCTCCATATTAAGCTGAAATTTTTTCAGTGGAAAGAGTTGGGTGAGCATAATGTTTTTCATCCTCAAAGGCAATGAAAGCAAGGTAGGGAGGTATGGTAAGTGTACACCTCTTAAATTTTATTCTTGGCAGAAACAGAACTATATAAATTCAGTCAAGGGATAGGGAGATTTTCTGGGCAGTAAGCTGCTTGAAATAATCAGTGTCTTTGAATTTATAACTAATTCTTGATGAAGCAAAATTGTAACTAAATCCTCTCTCAGGCTGTCTATTGAAACTGAGAAACCTAATGAAATCAGATTTAGAAGTTGCTTGGGGATTATGTTAACTACATCAGTCAGGTTTCCAGTCATTGTTCACATGAATCACCCATTAATTTTGCATCATGGTAATCACACATTTTGGAAAACGACTTTGTGTGTATAAACAAACTTGGAAATAGAGCAAATAAAATAATCTAATACTAGGAAATGGCCAGGATCTGTAGTGCCTAGGGGTAATGTTTCTAGGCAGCTCTACAACTGTGACTTGACAGAACATTTGTCTTTCCTAACATTTACTGTCTTCTATCTTCAACTTGGGAATGCTGTGTTAAAGTGAAGATGTCAGTGTGAGTCTTGAAAAACTCTAGTCTATGGAACATAAAGTTTCTCCATTTTCCCCTTTTATCACTATGCTCTGAAGTCACTTCAATTTCTGGATGGGTTTTCCCTTTTCATTGCTGAAGTTTCCAGAATTTAGAGCCTCATGTATGTCAGGTTTAATTTAGGTTTCTTTGACAGGCCACACCATATTTTTCCACTTGGTCTTCTATTCTTGAAATTCTTATGATTTCATATCTTATAAATTATAAAGGGATATTTTAATTGATAATTTGTTCATATGTCTTGGTTTATTACTAATAGTTTGAATTGACCAAGGCATTAGTAAACAAGCATTTTAAGTGGAAATGAGATATAAGTTTAGATCTTGCTGTGTACACATATCCCTATATCTGTGCAAGGGAGCTCTCTTGTGTTCAGGAGTGTATGAACATATGTGGGAGGCTGGAGTCAGAGTAAAGCTTCAGTTGTATTTCCTCAGATATTTTTAACATGTTGTTTTGAGGGAGTGGCATATCTTCTCTCACTCCTCTGAAATTTTCAGGAAATATGCTTTCTTGTCAGCCTGACTCAGAGATTGAACTGTGCCTAACTGACACAGCCCCTTCCCTACTCTTTGAATTATAATTGTGAGCTACAACCTCCAGGTCTCTATGGGAATTTTGGAGATTGAAGTCACATCCCCATTCTGTTAGTAAGAAGTGTAATAGCTTAACTATCTCAATTGGCCACCCTTGGTCATAGAATGAAATTTAAATTTTGAATATTTTCTCTCGTTTGCATTGTCCTTTCTTCCCTATAGTTACTGGGAGTTCTGCCCCTTATGTTGGATTCTCAAATTCAGGGTGAATTCCACAGCTGAGTATTGTCCTCAAGGTGTCTACAACATGTTGACATCTCTTATGTTAAAACAGATATGTCCTTGAATTGTGTATTTTTTACATAGCCACAGATCATAAATGAAAATCACCCCATTATTTCAAACATAGACCAAGAATGTGAATATTTGATTGTTGCATCAACCCAGGCATCCCTGGATCAAGGCAGGAGGATTCTTGTACATTCCCGGCAAGCCTCCATTACTGAAAAAGACCCTGTTTGAAAATGCATGCATCCAATAGAAAAACATTTATTAACTAGCTTCCTTTTGATTTGTATCACTGCTTTAATACTAGAGTTCTATTGACAGGTTATTGGCAGGACTAGAAATTATTGCAGGTAGGTTCATGTCTCTGCTAAGGTATGAAAGAAGGGAACACTGCTTCCGTGTATTGATCTTTACATTATTTGTATCTTAGAGCAAGTTCTCTTACACTTTCACAGTGTGTTTCAGTGTGTTTGAGTGCTGGAATGTTCTCCTGATTTCATTGGCATTGCTGCCTAGGATGGCACTGCATTAGCTTCAATCAGTCACATCATAGCTAGTGTACTGGTTTGTTTTTCTTTGCTTTGAATTCATTCATTGATGTAAGTTTTGAGCATTATCTATGAAGGTTCATCTAGTCCATAAAAGCTATGTTTTCTACACCTGTTCTACATAACCATAGCCTCTCATTTTGGAAACTGTTTGAAGTAATGTGAGCATCATAGTCAGGATTCTTATTCCAATCACATGCTTATTGAGTGCCATTGTTTCCTATGACTTGTGTTTCACATTTCTCCTGTTGACTGACCAACCAGATAATGGATCAGGTAGGAATATTGAACATTCTTCCAGGATGAATTATTCACAGTTTATTGCTTTCTTCTAATTAGTTTGTGTTTGTATCATTCATGTGTTTTCTCTCCATTGTGTTAGGTAACAATTCTTTATGTAGACTGTGTCAGCTCTCCTCTCTGTCTTCATCTTAACTCTAGACCACCATGTTTACATGTGTTTGTGTAGGGGATGGAATTTAATAACTTATCTCTTACTGTAACATTATCTACTTCATTTTCACCTAATCTTTAGTTATACATAATAAAATAATTATTAAAGAATAGAAAAATGTTCTCTTTCTTTTGTAATATTTTTAATTTTAATATTCATATTGATAGGAGAAAGACATTCAGAGAAGATTCCTTCCTTGAAGAAGATGATGAGAGAAGACATTTTTCTCTGATATGGGTGAACTTGCAGAATTGGGTGTTCTTTCATTTTGTACTTACTGGTCATTGCTTCTTCCAGGATAACTTTGCCCAATTCTTAGTGCAGACATTTGTGAGAAATATAATGGGAATTTGCAACATAAATACTTGTATTTGAAGACATCAATAGTTCTTACTATTGACATTAATATTAAAATAACTGTGTCAGGTAGTGTGGAAAGGAACTTTTTGTACTGTGCATCTTAGGTTTTCAGCTAATATCATATTTTTGGATTTGTTACATCAGGTGCACAGGACCATCTCAGCAATAAAAATTCAAAATTATTCTATGAGTACTGACTGCCATCCTATTTTGAAGTAAAATTTGCTCAGTAACAAAATGGACTCTAGGAATTTGGGAATAGGAATAATCTTGTTTATACAGAATACAGTTGGAATTCTGGGTAACTTCTCTATTCTTTCCTTCTACCTATTTATTTATTACAAGAAACACAAGATAAAGCCCTTGGATTTAATTTTCATGCATCTGGTCATGATTAACTTCTTGATCATTCTCTCTAAAGGAATGGCCAACATAATGACAACTTTTGGGTTGAAATATTTCTTCAATGATTGGGGCTACCAACTTTTTATGTATATGCTAAGGGTTTTCAGGAGCATGTCCATTGCAACAACCTGTCTCTTGAGTGTCTACTCTGTCATCATCATCAGCCCTAGAAACTCCTGTTGGAAGAATCTTAAAGCCAACTCTCCCAAGGACATTGGTCTTTACATTTCTCTCTGCTGGTTCTTGTACATCATGTTAAATGTTCTTTTCCCTTTGTACATGTCCATAAAATCAAGAAGGAAAAACATAACAAAAGAGACAGATTTTGAACTGTATACCATTGTAGGCCATGACAAAATCACAGTGTCCTTATATATAGCATTTTTTGTGTATCCAGAATTTCTATTTTCTGTACTCATGATCTGGTCCAGCAGCTCAATGATTGCCATTTTATATAGGCATAAACAGAGAGTTCAATACATTCGCAGCAATTGTGCTTTCCATAGTAACTCCCCAGAATCCAGAGCCACCCAGAACATCCTTGTCCTAGTGTTCACCTTTCTGTCTTTTTACTCACTCTCTACCATTGCACATGGTTGGAATGCTTTATTATCTGGTGACAGTTGGTGGCTAATGAAGATCACAAACATTATAACTTTGTGCTTTCCCACTTTCAGCCCATTTTTACTCATGAGTAGATCCTCCATTCTCTCCAGATTCTGCTTTTTTTGAATAAAGTATACAGAACCCTCTAATGTTACTATAGCTGTTTAAATTGCACACTTTTTCAGAATCCATGCTTTGAAAAAGGAAACAATACAACAATTATTTGAGGAAGATATTTCTTTGCTTAAGGTCAATCTTAAAAAAAAAAAAACTGGTGTAAACTCTCCACTCATGAACCCTCCATCCAATTCTAGCAAAATTCTGAGCATCCATATCCTTTTCATCCTTTATTTGAGATATTCCCCAGATATTTTTTGGTCCAGCTGGCCTTGAGGAGTACATGCTTAAAATGTTTTTGATAAATTATCCTTACTATTTCTATCAGGTGGAAACATACAATACATTCTAGATGCTCTCTCTCCTTCTCTCTCTGTCTCTCTCTGTCTCTGTCTCTGTCTCTGTCTCTCCCTCTCTCCCTACCTACCTATCTATCTATCTATCTATCTATCTATCTATCTATCTATCTATCTATCTATCTGTCTATATCTCTGTGTGTGTGTGTGTGTGTGTGTGTGTGTGTGTGTGTGTGTTCTATTGAAGCTAAATCTCTACAAACACAGATACTATTATAGCCATAAACTTTCAACACAGAAAACCTTGTTTACTTCACATCTGTTCCAGCTCTTCAGTGCTTCAATTGCTTGTTATGGATTAGTTCCTAGTCACCTTGCCTGTCAGTCATAGTCCGCCATGAGTCAGGTCATAGCTAAACTCCACCATTGTGAAAGTTAGAATCATACCTCTCATAGGACTAAGTAAAAGCCTGTGATTGAGAAAGAGTAAAAGTATCTTCACAAGGTTTGAGTGAAGATATATAACAGTGAAAGCAAGCCAAGTTGCTCTTCTATGCATGCATGAATCCATTAAGCACTCTTCTTAGATTACTGGAGAATATTTTTCTCCTATGCTCCTCCACCCCTGATGATGAGATTTTCCCCTCAGTGGAAAGTGCTGCCTCTTTTGGTCTTCATGATGGGTATAAAAGACAGAGATCATTGAATATAGAGCTGACAAGTCAGTGGAGGTTCCAGAAGCATCTCAGATCCCCAACACTATCAGTTACAACACCAGTAAGAGCCTTAAGGTGGGGGAAGATAAGAAGACATTGATCATGAACAGCAGATGCAAGAGAAATTTGAAGAAGACATTGCAAAGAAGTGAGGTTATTGTGTGTTACTGTGAAAGTTCTAGAATTCTGAAAGGAGTTAGGTGGAGGTGGAGGTATTTCTCTCACCTGTTAGTTATTTCCAAATAATCATTCAGACATTTGATAGTACTGAGAATTGTTTGGCCAATGCCTCAGGCTTATTACAAACTAGCTCTCAAAATTAAATTAACACTTTTTTTTCTATGTTTTACCATGAGTTTTCTCAATTATTTCCTTACATCATTCTTTGACTGAGGCTACCTGGCATCTCTCTGTCTCTGCCTTAATTCTTTTTTTTTGTTTTTGGTTTTTTGAGAAAGGGTTTATCTGTGTAGCTTTGGAGTCTATCCTGGCACTCACTCTGGAGACCAGGATGGCCTCAAACTCACAGAGATCTGCCCGCCTCTGCCTTCTGAGTGCTGGGATTAAAAGCATGTGCCACCAAAGCCCAGCTGCCTTAATTCTTTTGGTTACTATTTTTGGATTTCCTGCCTGGCTTTATTTCTCATGGTCATTGGCCAAATCGCCTTGTTTATCCACCAAAAATGCAACACATATTAGCAGCATAACAAAGGATATCCCATATCATTTCCCTTTTCTGTCTAATTAAAAAGAAGTGTTTTAACTTTAATATAGAAAAATTACATAAAACAAAACAGTTAGCCAGGTAGTGGTGGCACCCACCTTTAATCCCAGTGCTCAGGAGTCAGAGGCAGGCAGATCTCTGTGAGTTCAAGACCAGCCTGATCTACCAGGACAGCCTCCAAAGCCACAGAGAAACCCTGTCTCGAAAAAAATATAAAAAATACAGCTATCAAGAAAGAAGTACAGTTATAATATTCAGGGTATATGTATTTAGCAAAGTTAAAGAAAATACTCTATAATCTATCCTATCTTTTGGAGTCTAAAGTATTATATCTAATTTATCTTACATCATAACTTAGAAAAACTAAATTTATAAATATCTAATCTTCAACTGCATCAAAGATAACAGAAGGATATAATATTACCTAAGTAAACAGGAAGTAAACTCTAGAATTGACAGACACGTTTGGCTGCCTGAGCAGTCACTCAAAGCTTTTCTGTAACGTTGGGAAATCTATCTTCAGCTTATAGGCCCATAGTATCTGGAAGACTTTTTAATGAAGAAGTAAATATGAAGATATGTTTTGCCTTGTATTGACAAAGTTCATCAGTTGTTTTCTTATGTGTCCTGCAGAATGTCTGGAAGTTTCTTCCATGAAGCAGGAGCACTGAAGGGCCATCTTGTCTTGATTTGCCAAGCCACTTTTTCTGTGGGCACTGAAATTTGACTTCCTCCTTTCCAGTTTGTATCCCCTTGATATCCTTTTCTTATCATATTGCTCTAGCTTGGATTTCAATTACAATGCAGAAGAGATATGGAGACACTGGAAAACCTTGTCTTGTTCCTGATTTTAGAGGAATCGCATTGAGTTTCTCTCCATTTAATTTGATGTTGGATCTTGGCTTGCTGTACATTGCCTTTCTTATGTTAAGGTTTGTTCCTTTTATCTCTGATCTCTCCAAGTACCTTATCATGAAGGCGTGGTGGATATTGTCAAAGGCTTTTTCAGCATCTAGTAAGATGATCATGTGGTTTTCCTTTTTCAGTTTATTTACATGGTGTTTTTATTGACGGATTTTGATATGTTGAACCATCCATGCAACTTTGTGATGAATCTACCATGATCATGGTGGATGATTTTTTACATGTGTTCTTGGATTTGATTTGCCAGTATTTTATTGAGTATTTTTATATGAATGTTTATGAGGGAGATTGGTCTGTAGTCTCTTTCTTACTTATGTCTTTGTGTGGTTAGTGTACCAAGGTAATTGCAACCTCATAAAAAAGAGTTTGACAATGGCTCTTCTAATTCTATTGTGTGGAAGAATTTGAGGAGTATTGATACAGAAATGAACACTTTGCATTGGTATGGATTTTGGTTTATTGATACAAGTTTAAGGTCAAGCTTCATGGAAGAATCTGCCAGACCTTCTGCAGTACACAGAGAAAAATGACTGGCAAACTGCTGATACAGTTGGGCCAGTTTGAAATTTCCTGCTTCACTGAGAGGTCTGCCAGACACTCTAGGCCTGTAGGCTGAAGATAGATGACCCAACATTACAGAGGAACTTTGCGTGGCTGTACATTCAGTGAAAATCTTGGTCAATTGTAGATATTACATTATCCTTCTGATGTTTTTGATGGAGTTGAAGACAGAAACAACAGGCTTGACTTTGCAAGGTTCATTAGTCTTCGTTACGTTCTCCTGCTAGCCAAGTTATGACCACATGTCCAAGGTCAGCGGCCAAGGTTGGAGAAGTTCTTTGCCCAAGAGGTCAGTAGCCAAGGATCGAACAAACTCCAGATGGAGTTTCTTTGTTGTCCATCTTCCTGTCTGAAGTAATTGCTGTAACCAGGAGCAGTTGTGTCTCACTGTCATGAAAAACCATAAACCATTTTACATGCCTTATTTTGCAGGTCTTTGAAAGGATTGAAGAATACCTATCCACTTTAAATATATCTGTATAAGCTTTGTCAATTATACAAGACTATCTATAAACTGTATTTAATTATACATTACATTTTTAATGAGCTGCATAAACACAATACCTAAAGAAGAGGAGAAATATACCTAAAACAATTTGACATTAAATTTTTATCCATAAAACAAAATCCATACCAATACCAAGTCTTCATTTCTATATCATAGTGTATTGGTATTCCTTGAATTTCTGATAGAATTCTGCAGTGAAACCATCTAGCCCTTGGCTTTTTTTTATTAGTTGGGAAACTTTTGATGACTGCTTCTATATCATTAGGGGTTAAAGACCTATTTAAATTGCTTCTCTGTTCTTGATTTAATTTTCTGATACCCATAGAAAAAATTGCTCATTTCCTTTAAATTTTCCAATTATGTGGAGTACAGGTTTTCAAAGTATGACCTGAAGATTCTCTGTATTTCCTCAGTGTGTTTTGTTATTTCTCCCTTTCCATTTCTGATTTTGTTAATTTGCATATTCTCTCTGCCCTTGGTTGGTTTGGATAAAGTCTTGTCTTTCTTGTTGATATTCTGGAAGAACCAACTCTTTGTTTCATTGATTCTTTGTATTGTTTTCTTTGTTTCCACTTCATTGATTTCAGCCCTCAATTTGATTATTTCCTGGTGTCTACTCCTCCTGGGTGAGTTTGCTTCTTTTTGTTCTAGAGCTTTCAGGTGTGCTGTTAAGTCTCTAGTGTGACTGTTCTCCGTGACCTTTATGTAGGCATTTAGTACTATCAACTTTTTCTTAACAATGCTTTCAAAGTGCCCTATAAGTTTGGGTATGTTGTGCCTGTATTTTCATTGAATTCTAGGAAGTCTTTAATTTCTTAGTTTCTTCCTTGACCAAGGGGGGAAGCAATTGAGCATTGTGCAATTTCCATGAGTTTGTATGGTTTCTGCAGTTTGTGTTGTTGAATTCTAACTTTAAACCATGGTGATCTGATAAGATACAGGGAGCTATTCCAAATTATTGTATCTGTTGAAGTTTGCTTTGTTGCCAAGTATGTGGTTGATTTTAGAGATTGTTCCATGTGGTGCTGAAAAGAACATATATTCTTTTCTGTTTGGATGGAATTATCTATTGATGTATGTCAAAACCAGTTGAGTAATAACCTCTGTTATTTCCTTTATTTCTTTGTTAAGTTTCTGTCTGATAGTCCTGTCTAGTGATAAGAGTAGGGTGTTAAAGTCTCCCATGAAAAATTTGTGGGGGTTTATGTGTTAAGATTTAAGCTTTAGTAATGTTTCCTTTCATTCTTTTTTGGGGGGTGGGTTTGAGATAGGGTTTCTCT